AATGACATGAGACTGTTTGAGTCTCACTAATAAACATGGTCTAAGGGATGTCAAAAATCGAACAAACAAAAACTAACTATTCGAAGTTGAAATCGTGGATGAGAAAAAACATTAAAACATCATGTAGGAAACTCGATCGTTTGTCCAAAACCATATAGCTTTCTTGGTTCATATATATATATACTCTTTTCACAATTAAACATTTTTTATTGATCTAAAAGTCTAATAAATCCGGTTTAGAAGCCGTCATAATTTCATCATTGATGACGTATCACGAGTATATGTATACAATGCGGCTGCGGTGTTGCGGTTTACACTTCCTGTACGTATTCGCCGTCTATGTGAAAAACAGCTGTAACTTGTAATATTTTGATTATCGGAAATGCAATCATTTGACTTTTAGTTTGACATTCTTAATAGTAATCTACACGTGCTCATTTATTTGCTACAAGGTCAATAAAAGAATCACGTGTTTGCTTACTAAAGTTAGAAACAAACATGAAAATGTGCACAAGTTGTTATAAACTATGAGTGTAAATGGTGACATGAAAAAAAAAAATTCTCCCAAATTCAGCTAAATTTAGCAATTCTGCAGTCACCATTTGCAATATAAAAAAATTATGTCAGATTTAACTAGATTAAATAATTCTACAAAAATATATTGCAAGATTCATTTGAAGTTAGCTAGATTTAATAATTTTTTCAACACCAAATGATGTATAAATATGTTTATTTTGGAAAATAGATTGGATATGAGCGGATATTTGAGTTAGAAAATATATCGAATATATATATCTTTTAAAATGAATTGGATAGTATGAATACAATATGTATGATTTCGGATATTTAAAATTATTATCAAATACATAAAGATTTTATCATATTTGGATATTTTATGTAATTAAAAATAATTTTGGATAATTTATAGATATTTTTGTTTGAAAAAATTAAAACAAATTTTGTAATTTTAGAATTTTTAGATAATTTAGACAGTTTTATTACTTTTAAAAAAAATATTGTTCATGTATTTTAAGTTTTTTTTTTGGTATGGTTCGATTGGATATTTTCGTAATTATTTGTACTAGTATGATTTAAAGAAAACTATAAGAATGTTTTTCTGAACATAAAATTCAACAATTAGAATAAATTTTATTGAAACAAAACTTTAGATTAATTTACTATATATTTTTGTAAGATAAATTATCTTTAATTTTTAAAAATTTCAAAATTTTTCGTTAAATTATGTTGTTATTTTGTGTTTGATAAAATTATTAAATATTAATGTAAAATTTAATATTTTTTATTTTATTTAACTAATAAGATTATTTAACTAACTGTAATAGGTTTATAAAAATATTAATTTAAAAAAAAAATCAGCCAGATTCAGCTGTTACCATTTACATTTTAAGATAATCTGACAGATTCTATAAAAAATCACTAAAAATTCAGCAAGATTCTGTAATTCAGCAAAATTCAGCCACCATTTAGACACTATATGCTATAAGGTGAGATTTG